TGTGATATAAGATTGGAATCACTCCAACTTATGATCACACGATGATCAAAGATTCCAAGCTTAATAACTCGCAGAAGATGGAAAGAAGGTAGAGATGATGTTGATGATAAGTGATGGTTTGATTGACTCTCTCAATCGGTGAACGAAATAGATTGTTTGAATCGCACAAACAAACTAATCACGCAGCTTCTATAGAGCTAAGTGAATCGCACATTTAAATCTAAAGAAAAGAACACTCTTGCAAAGAAACACTTTGAAAGAAAACGAAATACATTGATTAAATTGATTGAAAGGTGTCTTACAATGAAACAAAACCTGAGCTTATATAGGCTCAATAGGCAACGACCTAAAAGCTAAAATATGAAAGAAAATGAATAGAATAAGTTTAAAAGATTGGTGCTTTAAGAGAATAGAGCCGTTAGGATTTTATTGCGAGAATCTTGGCCAAATAAAAGAAGGTGATGTCTCTTTTGTATCTGGACGGTTTGGATGGATAGGTGAGCTTCCTTGGAACCTTATAACTCACTTGGATGATCTTCAATGCGTGCACAATCAGATTAGGAAGGAGCCGTTGCAATGTGAACACAATAAAAGCACTCGGATCCATATAAGGAAAGTTTTAGGGCTGAGTGATCTTCTGCGATTTGGTGGAACTAGGAACGCCTCTTGAAAGTCTCTCCTCTATCTGGAAGGTCTCTAACTCATGGATGAACTCAAAAGGAACGAGTTGTTGTGTGAACTCTTTTAATGTGCATAGTGTGAACACATCCAAAAACAGAAAGTTGAAGTACTTGAGGATTCGCCTAATCCTCTGGATGTGGAGCATGGTAAGACGTATTTGTTAGCCTGTAGATGATTAGATAGCTCTCCTGGTCGCCACACATAATTCTGAAAGTTTCTAAACCAATCGAGTCTAGAACTTGCCATAAATGGAACCAAATCGACCCAATTTGGGAAATGGGAAACATCCTGAGGATTCAATGAGCATTTCTTTGGATCTTGGGCTTGATGGAACCTTGAGAGGCCCAAAAATATTCTCCATGTGTTCTTGGGTTGAGATCGTGGCTGATGTGGGTTGTGTAGCTCGATCTTTGGCCTAGACTTGCAATAGGGTCCAAAACAGGTCTGCGAGGTTGTTAAATCAATAACTTCCAAACCGGAACTGATTTGCACGTAACCACTTTGTCTTGGTTCTCTTATGGGTTATGAATCCAGAACCAGTCGATATGTAGCTTAGTTCCTCTTGGTTTGGTGGAAAACCTCCAATTAATCCGTGTATATCCAAATCGGTTAAGTTGGGGATAACTTGATTTGTAAACTGCATAACTCCTTTGTTTGAGCTCCGATTGGGCTGATTCCACTTTGAGGCGTTTAGTAATTCAGCTAACAATGTATTCCAAGTGGTCGTTGAGCTGGAACAATTGTTCTTGGACTTCATTTAGCCTGAACAAGGCTCAGGGGTCTCCTTAATCTCCTCGGGTTGTCTCGGGTCTATTTGGTTGAACCTTCGGTTGGTGCTGAGTTTGATGACCGCATC